ATGTGTACGCAATGATATCTTTTTTTCCTTGTTGGGTTGTATAATAATATAATACAACCTTCAAAGACCATGTTAGGGCTATTTGTTTGATTCGGCAAGGTTGATGGATCATAAAAAAGTTGTAAAGCCGAACTCGTGTGATTTGCGACTCTATAGAACGCACATTCTTTAAAGAGGATTTCATGAGAGATATTGGCTGCGAATAGTTTGGCACACGCACATCGTGGGAGCTTGAAATCGTGTAAAGCTGGCAGGAAAGGAGCCTGGAATTGTAATATCAAGGATGTCTGTAACTGACGCAGGCACCTAGGTAAAGTTGAGAATGGTTTGTGGGAGATTTGCTTTAGCGACTCTGTAACTAAATCTCTCCGAACTGCAATCAGTTACTTCAATATCCATTCCAGCTTCCTCCAGTTGCAGCCAAGACCTGTTTGGATTTAGTGAGTCCAACCATTTCGCTGAAAGCATTCAACATCGCAAACCGCCTCACTACTCCCAAACACCTCCAGGATATCCATGAAAACTTCCCCTGCTTAAATTTCTAGTTATTTTTTACTCCAACTATCTCTTTCCGTAGTGGCTCTATTTTTGTCTCTTTTTTATTACATCTACCCCAGTTGTTCTATGGTTTCAAAGAAAAGTGTAAATTCATAAAAATAAAAACTAATTAAAGTAAATAAAATTTAAATATAACAATAAATATAGAAGATTTATTTCTACATTATTTCTTGCTATCCATTATTCATTACTACTTGCTATATTTTGTGTGCACATTATATTATTGCTATCCATTATTCATTACTACTTGCTATATTTTGTGTGCACATTATATTATTGCGAACTTGCCACAACTTCTACACACACGTGCATGTGTGCTATTTTCACACCTTTTTGCACACACCAAAGAAAAAAAAACCAATTAATTTTTTTTAAAACCCCCAATGTCAACATTAGAGGGGCACCTATCTAGCATTTACCATTCGAGATAGTTGAGAGTTACGTAACTTTAATTGTGAGCATCCCTCTAGTATTCCTTACCCTAAAAGCCCCCCACATTAGTAGGACCTTGTAGCGACACTCACAAGAATGACTTAGGACCTATGCGGGTGAAACGAAAACTAGCCACATTTCAGCTTTTTCCTAGTTAGGAACGTCAACTTGAACCTTGCCCATAGCAACCTAAGCAAACATTTGAAATATTTTCCTGTGGTGTATGCCTTGTACGAATAACAATATGGTAGAATTATGTCTCAAGACCAAACCAAAGAGAGGTCCAGTCAATAACTCAAGTGCACAATCAGTCCCATTCCAGTCTAGGTCTAGGACATCGACTCACCTATCTAGAGGGCACCATAGCAAGGATCCCCGAACCTACAATGTGGGTGAGCCTAGTTTTGATCCATATGGGACCATCATTAAAAATCATGTCCTCCAAATCAGTAGTCCCCATAACCACTATTTATGAATCATGGACCACTAAATTAACATGGTCCGGAGTGCATTGAACAATCAAGGAATGAGACAAGGAGTAATCCTGCAATAGTTAAGGACAAACCACCAGCTCGATCTGCCTAGTCGAGTTGAGGAAGGAACCTTGAACAACCTCGAGCCAGCTGATCCAAACTGGGTTAACCTAAGGGTCAAATACCAACCAATCATCCAAACCAAGAACCAACCCCTAAGCGTAGAACACTTAGTTTGGAATTTGGCTCTGGCAAATGGCTATCATGCTTAGGAAATCTAAACCCACTAAATTGAGATCTACCGTAAAGGTCAGATTGTCAAAAACCATAATAGTTATCATCCTAAAAAAATCCATCAGTGAGCAACCTGTCTTGCAAGCTGTCTTAAGAGACTTAGTGAGAAGCTCACTTAAGAGACTTAGTGAGTCACGGTTATACCACCTGAGCGCTAGATTGTGGGCATAACCAGGTTCAATCCAACCACTTTTTAGCCCTATTGGCCAACAACCAATCTACCTAACTTAGCCGGTTCCCTTAGTTCAACCTTTGGGAAGACCTTACCAAACCAGCCTCGTGGCTCAAACCTACTGACCATAAGTCCAGCCAATCCATGCTATTCCCCAAGCTCAAACACACCAGTTTGTGTTAGGCAACTAGCCAGCTAGGCAAGTTACTCTAGTTCCAAAGGCTCAATTAGCCAACATAGAAATGGCCATGAAAATCCTTCAAGACACATTAGCAAGAATGGGGTCCATGACATTTCAACCCTTAAACCTTATGTTCAAGAGACCCTTGGGCATATTGAAGATCTGCAGACAGGATCCATTTGCCCTGATTTCAGAAAGAAACAAATTCTTTGGGAAGGGTGACCCAGAATCTCATGTCACTGCTTACTTGCTTTCAATTCTGGCCTTGTGCGATTGACCCAATTTCTTTAAGGCGATCTTATAGCATAGCCTTTCAGGGGGATCCCTGATGTGGCACCAAGAATTTATAAGGGATAACTTGCATGCAATTCTGGATGAGATGTTCCTTATGTTTGAGACCCTCTACCGTGGGAGCAAGCCTTTACCCATCTTGTTAAGGTAACTCGCTTCAATGAAGAAAATTTTTGAATGGTTCAGAAGATGAAAATGTACAATCTTTGATCTAGCGAAGATCGGCATCATCCTTAAGAATGCAACCTATGAGTATAAACTTCTCTAAAGTAAAGGTAGTACAACCTTCTCTTTTGATCCACTCTATTAATAGGCAAAGGAGCATGTGGCTAGTTTTAATCCAATTGAAATTCAAGTACTAGCTACACCTCAAGAACTGCATAACGACCACAATGGAGTCTCACCTGATGGCAAGATTAATCAAGTCACATTCAAAGAGCCAATAGCCCAGCTTAAGCCAGAAACTCTTCCGAAATGGCCTTGGGGCGTAGGTAAAGACCGTTCGTATACATGGTAAACCTAACACAACACACGCAGAGAATTCACGCCCCTAAAGGAACCGGTGGGCAAAGTTCTTCAATAATTACTCGTGTAAGCTTGTCCAATTGTTGACGATTGGCATTCCTCTTCTTCACATTGGAGATAAATTGGAATGGTGTGATTAACATAAAAAACGTGCTCATGACACCGAGGAATGCCTTGGCCTTAGGTATATAGTCTTATATCTCATTGATAAAGGCATCACAAGCATCAAGGAAGAGGCCAAAGAGAAAGCCAAGCCCATATCTGTCTACCCTTGACCAAGAAGTAGACATCTTCAAGAGTCCACTCTAGATTGATATCAAATATTCAAAAGTCGAAACAACCCCGAGAGCTCCAACGACCCCAACAAAACCCAAAACTATGAACCCCATAAAGGTACCATGTTATCCACGAAGTAGAAGATGCACCCGAGCATAAGCTCACCCAAGTCCCTACGGTTGGGGGATCCTCGAGAATACATTCAGGATTGCCTTAGCCCTAGGTCCATAATCTAAGACAACGGTGAAGGACATACCACCCCGTGGGGAGCTGTGATTGTGGCCGAGTACAGAGATTTACAAGGAATCCAAAACATCCGTGTGATAGATGATAATGTAGGGGTAGAGGACCCAAGTTTGCTCATTTATTTGGACTTGAACCCTCGATCATCTCAAGAACCAGAAGTTGATGTCCTAAAAATCCTACGAGAGCCACCTTTACGGTATGTTCTAGATAAATCACTTAAGTGGGATGAAGAGTCGAGCTTAGATGACCTAGTTAACTCGTCCCTTTAGGTTAATTTCATGTGTTGATGTTATTCCACTGTGAATACTTTCTGAAAAGTTAAACATAACAAGAGCTCTGTTAGAGGCAAGAAGGCCAAGAAAGGAGTTCATACCTTGTTAACTTGTAAAAGAAAGTTGGCCTTAACCTTTATTTCAAAAATTTCACAGTCAGCATAGTAGATTATTTCAAAATGTCAGAAGAATAGGTCTCAGATATCTCTTTAGATAGTGCTTCTTCTAGTAGTCCAGATTTAGGGCCTATGTTTTCCAAACAAGAACATCTTTTAGAAATAACTTATACCCCTGAAAGTTTTCTGAAACTAGTTCTCAATTAATTAATCTTTATCATGTTTATGATAAACCCAATAAATGACTTGCTTAAGAGGGACAGAGAATCAGAAGAATAAATCTATCAAGTCAAACGGGTAGGGGCATGATTTTGCTAACTGGAGCGCTCTATGATCAAGATGGTCCACCCAATGGGACATAAGTCCCTACCATTGAAGAAGATCCAGTAGGGGCAGCCTTATCCGAGGATGATAATATAATAGGGGTAGTTGGTGAGGTTGAGGCTTCATCCCAAAATGCCACATGGTGCTTCAGTCTTAACACCATTGTCCTCCTTGCCCGAGGGTCTCATTGACACTCGGCATTGAGGATGAGCCCATTATGGAATTAATTCCTCAAGAGAAACTTGAGGTTCTAATTCAAAAGGACCATCGAAAAAATTAAGGTGATCACTCATCCATTCAAAGAGCGAAGTGAGGCATTTACGCCCACTAGGCTCATACTCTTGAGGCTTTAAAGCCTGAACCAATATTATGATTCACACTTTTCAAAAGCAGCACGAGCACAGGAAGATTG